TGTGTGTGTGTGTGTGTGTGAATAACACACCTTTCATATAACTGTTGCAAAGAACTAATTCACAGCTCCAGGCCCCAAGTCCAGAGTAGGCATTCCAAAAATACTACTTTATTTCCTCTCCCCTCAACACCACACCTTAGAGGTCAGTCTTTCTCCCCAAGAACTTCCTGAAGGCCCCCTTCACGTCCTTGTTCCTCAGGCTGTAGATGAGAGGGTTCAGCAAGGGAGTGAGGGCACCATAGGAGATGGAGATGAGCTTGTCCCGGTCATGGCTGGCCTCGTCCTGGGGCATCATGTACATGGAGATGGCTGTGCCGTAAGAGAGGACCACCACCGTAAGGTGCCATCCACACGTGGAAAAGGCCTTGCCATGGCCCTCTGTGGACCGCATCTGCAGCACGGCAGCCAAGATCCGCCCACAGGAAGCCACAGGAAGGCAAACGGGGCCAGCAGAGTCAGCGCACTGTGCCCACCATGAGCGACCTGTAGCACCTCAGGGCAGAGCAGGCAAGTTTGAGCAAGGCCAGGAGCTCATACAAGAAGTGGTTGATGACCTGATGGCCACAGAACTCCAGCGGCATGGTCAGCACAGGGACCACAGTCAGCAGGAAGGCCGCGGTCCATGATGCCCCAGCCAACAGACCACAAACCTGGGGCCTCATGCGTACAGAGTAGCGCAAGGGACCACCAATGGCCACAGAGTGGTCACAGGCCATGGCAGCCAACAGAAGACACTCCACCGCACCCAGGTGAAGCCCAACAACCATCTGGGCCAAGCACTGTCCTGGTGAGATGACGGGCACGTCCACCAAGCAGTTGATGAGGATCTGGGGCACGCTGGATGAGGTGTGACAAATGTCCAGGAAAGACAGGTTGGTGAGGAAGAAGTACATGGGGGTGTGGAGCCATGAATCCTAGCAGATTAGAAGCAGGATGAGGCTGTTTCCAAAAAGGGTGACTGAGTAAGACATGAGGAGCAGGCAGAAGAAGGTGGTTTGAGCCCCGGGGTACTGAGATAGCCCCAGCAGAATGAAGTAGACCTCACCTGTGCTGTTCTGAACATCCATGCTCTTCCGAAACTCTAGCAGGGTCGACAGAGAGGGGTCGTCATGTGGGATGGATACAGGACTGCCATACTGACAACCACAAAAATGAATTATTATTATTATTTTTATTGTGATTTGGGTGAAAATTTACAGAGCAAATTCACATTCCATACAGCAGTTCACATACACTTTGTCTCATGACATTGACTACAATTTCCCACAATGCAACAGCTCCCCTCCCACTTCCTCCCTATAGTTACCTCTTCCCTGTGTCCTTCCCTCCATGCACCCCTGCCCCCTGAGCTGTTTCCCTGTGCATACACAGCCCTTCTTTCTCCCATGATTGTCCTCTCCAAGGAGTGTATCTACCTCAGGTACATGTTCAACTCATATGCCTGTCTTTTGTTTGGCTGGAAGCCACAGGTATGGGTTCAATTCCAGACCTGAAGGGCAGCTAGGGGCCATAGTCTCAGTGGTTCCACCAGGCTCTATAGGATCAGCAAACCTGGTCCCCCCCACACTTTTTTTTTCCTTCCAAATGATTTTTAGTTTTGTTCCACATTGTTCTCCCTCTCTATCCAGAATCTTCTACATAGATCCCCCTCCAAATGGTTGACAGTGGTAGCCGGGCACCATCTAGTTCTTCTGGAAAAATGAATTATTTTTAAAGGAGTGAAGCACAAATCCATACTACAACATGGACAAACTCTGAAAACATGAAGTGAAATTAAAGAGGCCTGTTACAAAGGAGCACATACTGTATGATTCCCTGACATGAAATACCCAGACGGGAAGACCCACCAGAGACGGAAGTAGGTCAGTGGTGGTCGAGGACTGGGGGACACAGATGTGCCCTGACTGCTGATAGATACAGGGGCTTTTTGGGGGTGATGAAAATTTTCTAAAATTAGAATGTGGTGATAATTCCACAATTCTGTGACTCTACTGAAAACACTAATTGGAGCACTTTAATAAGTGGATTTTTTGTATGTGAATTATGTCTTAATAAATCTGAGTTTTAAAAGAAAAGAAGCTATCAGATTTACTTAAATAAAATGTGACTATTTTAAGACACCAATGTGTCCCTGGGGACGGTTGCACAGAGTCTCATTCCATTATCTCGTATCAGTACGTCCCTGGCTAGAATCCCCTTAATACACTGCACCCTACAGCAGCACTCGTCGGCTCAGTCAATCATGTATTCAGTCTTCGTTTCATGGATTGGTGGATCGGTGCAGGGATTGAGTCAACCACTCATTGGGTCATTCATTCATTGGTTCACGGATTGGTGGATTGGTGGATGGATTGAGTCTTTCATTCATTGGGGTCACTATTCATTGACTCATGTAGGCACAAAACAAAGGCAACTATTTACATTATTGATTATCTTCAATGCTCAATTAATTGCATTCAAAAAATTTTAAAAAAATGGAAATATTGCAAAGATAAACACTGAAATAAAACCTATAAATCCAGTACATATAACCAAAACCAGAAGCTCTGGTAGCATAGTGCCTAAGGCCCTTGACTGCTAACCAGAAGGCTGGCAGTTCAAACCCACCAGCCACTCCTCAGAAGGAAGGTTGGGCAATCTACTTATGTGGTGATACTGCCTCGGAAACCCAAGGAGGGGTCGCTCTGAGTCGGGTCTGACCTGACGGCACATAACAATAACAACAGTAACAACAACAACACAACCAAACCTATTTTTGTCCCATTAATTCTAACTCATAGCGACCCCATAGGACAGAGTAAAACTGTCCAACAGGGTTTCCTAGGCTGTAAGCTCTGCGAAAACAGACTGCCACATCTTCCTTCCATGGAGGGGCTGGTGGGTTTGAACGGCTGACTTTCTGGGTTAGCAGCAAAGCACTTAAGCATGGAGCAGGGCACATTAACAGACAGCCGTTGTTAATACCTTATTATGGCTTCTTAGAGCTCTTTGTAACATTCTGCTGAACAAACACACATGCACACATGCACATATGGAAGAAAAATGAGATCATATACTTCATTCTATTTTGTCAAATGCTTTTTTCACTCACTAAGCTAGCACAGACATGTTTCTATGTAAACAAGCCAGTTTACTTAATTCTTTTAAATTATATCTCAATGAATAGATCCATGTGCTATGGTTTATGAAATTAATCCCTAATTTTGAGTATTTAGATCATTTCTACTCTTTTAACTATATAAGTAACCCTTTGATGAACGTCTTTGTACACTTGTAAAAGTATTTCCTTAGGAGTGAGATCCCTGGGGAAGAAGATAAGGTCAGATCCTTACAACAATACCAGAGAGAAAGTTGATACACAAAGGAATTGTAAAAGGAACCAGCAGGCCCCATCACGCATTCATTCCCTCACAGCAAATGCTCCTCACCCGCTTCCGATGAATCGTTTCCGGTAGACCAGTTGTTGTCGACTCCAGCCCATGGGGTCCCGAGTCTGTCAGAGCACAGCTATGCTCTGCAGGGTTTGCAGTGGCTGATTTTGAAGGAAATCACCAGGCCTGCCTTCTGAGGTGCCTCTGGGTGGACGCCAACACCACCCTTTCAGCTGGCAGCCAGCACATTAACAATTCGAACCACCCAGGCACTTGATTCTAGGTATGGTGGTGTTCGTAGGTGGTGTCGAGTTGATTCCAACCATGGCGACCCCACGTGACAGAGAAGAACTGTCCCACGGGGTTTGCTATGCGATGATCTTGACACAGCAACAAGGAAAGCAAAATGCTGAACTCAGAAGGACTCCAGTCAGGGGTAAGGCCAAGGGTGTGGACAAGAAAGCAAACAAATTAACCAACACACGAGCAAAGGCCATGGACTGGAATGCCACATGTTGTAATGACCCGGCGTTGCTGTAACAAAAATACCGCAAGGGAGTGGCTTTCACAAACAAATTCATTTTCTCACAGTTATGGAGGCTCGAAATCTGGATTCAAAGTGCTGGCTGTGGCAGAAGGCTTTGTCTGTCTGTCGCCTCGAGGGGGAGATCTTTCTCCCTTTTCAGCTCTGCTCCTGGGTTCCTGGGCCATTGCTGCGTGGCTCTCCACCCGTCTTCCCTCATGTCTGCTTGCTTAATCCGGTATCTTCCACATCTCACGAGAGACTGACTTAAACACACCCCACGCTAACCCTGCCTCATTAATGTAACAAAGACAACCACATCCCCACTGAGATTATAATCACAGTACAGGGGTCGGGGTTTACAACACAGATTTGGGGGAAACACAGTTCAATCTGTGACGCACAGGAACTGAGGACAAAGAGTGCACCAGACCACGTTAGGTCAGCTGGTCCCTGGGGGCAACTGTAACACCTTCTCTGGGGCATAGGGTCCCCCGAGGGGAGTGGCAGTGCACCTGCCTCACACAGACAGTCACCATGCTCCGGAAGCCGGGGCCCCTGCTGGCCAGTCTCTTCACTGCTCTGGGTCTCAGCTTCTCATCTGGGGAACAGAAAGAACCACACCACCACGGGTGAGGGGAGCCGGGGATTTAATGAAAGGAGATCCTCCGGGCAGGGGCGAGGTCTGCGCCGCGCATGGACCAAAGGGACCAACGAGCAGCTGGTCTACCTTCCCCTCCACAAGCCCGGGGCTGCTGCTCTGGGGGACGTCCGAGGACCTGGCTTCTGGCTCCCACTGCGCCCCCTCCCCAGAGAAGTTACAGAGACGTAGAGACGTCCTCTCTCACCCTCTTCAAATGACAAGATTTGATTTCGGGGTGAGCTCCAAGGAGGATGTAAACATATATATATATGTGACGGTGCCCTGGGGGCACAGTGATTAAGCACTCAGATGCTAACTGTAAACTCAGCAGTTTGAACCCACTAGCTTCTTCCATAAAAACAGCCTTGGAGACCCTGTGGGCAGTTCCACTCTGTCCTCTAGGGGCGCTGTGAGTCGGAATCGATCCCATGGTTTATTTGTTTCTGGTTAGTGTATCCTCATGTGCCACATAAGTTCCACAGTCCCTACTCAGAAGGACGTTAGGAACAGGGGAACTGGTTGCAGGCTACATGTGAGTCTATGTTCTGTCTTTGCAATTTGTCTTAACTTTAAAACTGTTCTTTAAAAAAACAATTTTTTTTTTTTTTTTTTTTTAAAGCTGCCCGTTTCATGAAGAAACACTCACGTGGCTATGAGGGAATGGTGCAGAAGAAGGGCCTGGCACTCCGTCCGTGAAGAGGACAGCCTCGCAGGCCCTGTCGAGCCGTTCCACCCGGTCACACACGGGGTTGCCATGAGTCAGGGCGGACGGCAGCCCACGACAGCACCCAGAGACTGGGGCAGCGCGGCCCGTTCTGTCCTGATTCAGTTGCACTGAGGTAAGGAGAGCTGTGGGGCCCACACTCCTCATTTGTCCCCATCATCCTAACCCCCCGCCAGTGCCCACGTCTATATTACCTGCTGCAGTCCTGATGGAGCACAGGTTTAAGCACTCAACGACCAGCCAAAAGGTTGAAGGTTCGAACTGAGCCAGAGTGGCCTCAGAAGACAGGGTCACAGCCTGGAACCCCCGTGGAGCCGTTCTGCTCTGCACCCCTGATGTCCCCGAGTCAGAACGACCCAGCAGCCAGCCCTGAGCATGACGGGCGGCGTGTCCGTGCAGACGGACGACAGAGAAAGCTGCATGGGGTGAACGTCCGCTTCCCGCCATTCAGGGGCCCAGCCACACACCTGGCTCCAGCAGGCGTCTCCTGCAGGAACTTCTGACCCGTCGCTTCCGCGGGGAGAGACCACGGGCAGACGGGGGCTGGGCGCCGCTGGGCGTACACTAAGGCCGCGTCCCAAAGAGGCCGGGGTACAAGGTCAGGTCCGGGCACTGTCACAAGTGGGGTCCTAGAGAAGGGGGCACCCCGCCTCTGTCTGTCTGCTCTCTCTTCTCCCTCCGTGTGTCTCTCACGGCCCCTCTCTGCCTGTCTCTCTCCTGTCTCCCTGTGTGTCTGTCCCTGTCACTTCTCTGTGTGTGTCTTCCTTACTCTCTCTCAGTCTCCAGGTCTCTGTTTCTCTCTCTCTCTGTTTCTCGCTGTCTCTCTCTCTCGCTCTCTGTTGCTCTGCCACTTCTCTCTGTGGGTCTGCGTGCCTACTCTGCATGCATACTCTCTCTCAGTCTCTTGGTCTCGCTCTCTTCTCTCTGTCCCTCTCTTTTTCTCCTTCCCTCCATTTCTCGCTGTCTCGCTCTCTGTCTCCCTGACTCTCTCCGCCCTCTCTCTGCGCCACTCCTCTGCGCACACCTCTTGCCCCTCACCGTCTCTCTCGGCCCCTCTCTGTCTTCACCCCCGTCTCCCACGCAGCCTCCTGAAACCCCGAGGGGAGCAGCAGCAGAGCCGAGGAAGTGGGAGGGAGCTGGGGTAACGGCAAGGCCCCTTTCCCCTTGCAGTCTCTGGGGGCTCCTGGGCCGCACCTGGGGGACCTATGCTCATTAGCAGCAGGTCGGACTGGGCCGCAGAGCGGGGAGGTGGAACTCTGTGGGTCTCACAGTCGTTAGAGGAAGTTTGCTGTGAGTTTAGTTGTCCCTCTCAGCAGAACACAGGCGTCTAGGAGCTCACAGGGGCGGCAGAAATGCCTCAGGACCTCACAGCAGGACGGGTGGGTGGCCCAGTAAGACCAAGAGACAAGAAGACCACCTGCTGTCACGGAGCCAGTTCCAACTCCTGGCGACCCTGTGTGTCAGAGTAGAACTGTGCTCCCAACGGCTCCAGGGGCTGAGCTCTCAGGGGTCGATCGACACCCCCCTCTTCCGAGGAGCCGCTGGGTGGACGTGACCCTCCAGCCTTGTGCTTAGTAGGTATTTGCACCCCCGCGGGGTCCACCACAGGCTGGTAACGGAAGCTTCCTGAAAAGCACTCACCTGTGAGAAAGGAGCCCTGGCGGCAAGTGGTTAAAGCGCTCAGCTGCCAATCATTGGAAAGGTCAGCAGTTCGAACCCCACAGCCACTCCATGTTGTTGTTGTTGTT